CTAAGACATATCACAATATTGCTATCATGGCTATACGATGACCCACGCCCGTCCCTTTGCATCCAAAGATAAGGATTCTTACCAAATCAATGGTAAGATAGCAATATCAAAGGAAAGGAAGAAATGAACTAAGACTTTTGAGTAGGTAGATTGTTCCTAGTTGCTTGCTCAATTTCAAATCAAACACTCTTGCTTATTTTCAAAACAAACACCAACACTTTCAAAAAACACTTTCAAAATATTTTCCAAACTTGAAACATTTTCAAAAGCTTAACACTTTGTATACGTTCTTACGAACGAGAACTATTACAAAGTTTGCCTAAACGAAGGCGCCTTTTCAAAATACTTTCAAAAACCACACAAAGCATATTTTTAAACAAAAGCAAGTGATCTAGCAAGCAACTAAGAGCCCATAGATAACTATGGATGAAAAGGGTACTAACACCTTCCCTTTTCATAATCTATCCACCGAACTCAAGAAAATAATCTCAAATGTCTTTCTTGTTCTTTTCATCCTTTCCTTTTGGATAAAAGAAAAGTCGGTGGCGACTCTTGCTAACCATAACATTTGCGATAAAATGCAAAACACCAAGTCAGTTCTCTTACCGTATCACAATACCAATCTAACTCTTCAGGTTTAAGAAGATTGAACAGGGGCAGCTGTTGTACCCCAAAATCCCCCCCCCCCCCCTTTTCTCAATACACTTCTCACAAAGATCCTCAATAGCTCAAGCTTGCACAAGTGTTGATTAGGTTAAACCACCTCCTAAGCACTAAGACCCCAAATTAGGATTTTGATTCTCACAAGGACAATTGGACTTTTAATGCTTCCAATGACTTTCATGGTTTATTATAGACCTCCAAAAATATTCATACCAAGTTTCAAGTCTTGCATCTCAAAATTGCTCAGTCAATTGTTCAGATGACTGAAAATCAATTGTATTGGTTAAAAAGTTAACTGTGGTCAACTTACAGTCAATCTTCAATATTTATTTTACCAATATCAACATTTTTAAGTCATATTCATCAATTTATCAAGTTTGGATCATAATTCCTCAAGAAAAGTGTTAAATCATCAAAGGGGCAAAATGGTCAAAATTAGAGTTTTGACTGAAAATGACTGATTTTTGACTTTTGACCTAATACATGATCTAATGACTTGAAGCATAATCTTAATAATTTAAGTACAAAATCTTGAACTAATTTCATGGTTTAAAATATTTCTCAAGATCAAACAATTGATAGTTGAAATTTGGTCAATTGATGAAAAAATCAATTGATACACCAAAAGTCAAACTTTGACTTTTTGGTCAAAATTGAGTTTCAAAAGTAAATATTCATCAAGACATTCAAAAATATGAATCTTTATCATCAAGGAATCAAGAAAGTCAAAAGTCAATATAAAAAGTCAAACTTTTCAAGACTTCGAAAAATTTCTAAGTGTTTTAAACCTTGATAATTTCACTACTTCATGACCTTTTTTCACCAAGATGAAAGATGATTCAAAGAAAACTTTCAACATAAAAGTTGTAGATCTTGATGAATTTTACAACTTTGTATTATAGGAATGATGTCCAAAAAATGCTTAGATTTGAAGATATAATACCATAAGTCATGACATTTTCATAAAACACTTAGTGAAAATTTTGACAAGTTTAGGCAGATTTTTTACCTAACTTCTTGACCTATTTCCACATAGTCCCATTTTGATTTTGTCAAAATGGTCAAAATGAAGGTTGTATACAATGTTTCAAGCTTTCCAAAATGTCCAAGAACTTGAAGAGATCATGCTTAAGCTAAGAGAATCGAAGGTAAGAAGTTGGGCATTCATTCTTGAATTACAAGTCATTTTTAGGATGAACACTTGACCAAATATCCAACCATGCTGCATAATCTCACTTTGCAGGCTTCTAACTTGTGTTTCACTCTATAATTAATTTATTACACAACTGTTAAAGCCATTGTCCAAGCATTTGAGCCATTATCCAAGTTGCATTTCCATTTATGGCACAAAGACACCATTGTCGTTCTTGAAAAGTTGCTTTAATCACAAAGCCAACTTGTCTTGAGCTTTGCACTTGTTACTTATGCACAAGTTTCATCTACAAAGTCACATAAAAATGTTTAAAGATTCTAACCACTCTAGATAGCCATGTACCTTGCATTGAAACTATGTTTATCAAGATTGCTTCAAAAACAAGTCAAAGATCCATAACATGTGATCTTGTAATTCTGATCACTCCAAGCCTTCAAACCTCTTGACTATAAATTGAGACATTATTTGCAAGCTATGGGAAGAATTTTGCAAGCATCAAAACTCCCTCAAATTCAGAATCACCAAAAATACCTCAAAACTTGTCATTTTTTATTTTGAAACCTAAGCTTCAAGGTGAGTTTTCTGAACTTCTATCTCTTCATACAAACATCATTTGGCTTTGATTTTCAAAGATAAAATTTAGACATCATAGCCATAAAATTAACCATATCCTTAAAATTCATTTATATTGCCCGAGTGATGTGAATTTTAAGTTTAAACTTTCTAAAAAATTAGGTCAGATTTGGTACCAATAGAAATTCGTGCTCATCTTTGATCCATTGTTTAAGTTGTTTACATATTTAGAATGGTGGTGAAATTTCTAACAAGTTTGATGTTTACAATTTCTGAAATGGTTGAGAGATGAGCAAGATACGATTTTCAAAAAAATATGATACAGGGGATGGCACGAGGAAGAAGACGGAGTTGCCTTTAGAACTCAGTTTATTTTATATTTATTAGTTGTTATTTCTATAACGGATGAAACAGTCACCCCAGTGGCAGAAGGATCGCGCGTAAGGCATTGGTACTAAGGGTCCTGGGTTCGAGCCCTAGTGACACCTTTTGTTATTTTTCTCAACATTTTTTCCTTGTGCGCTTGAGCCTCCCAGGGTTTGGGCCTGTTTATTTTTTCTTCAGCATCACCCCCTGATTTCTCAATAACACGCAGGCTCAAACATTCTTTTATTTTTATTATTTTGTTTTTCCTGACTTATACAAAAAAATGCATGGGCCTAAAAACTTTCCTTTTGCTACCTCTAACATCTTGTTTACTCTTCAAACCTACCATCCCATTTCTTTTCATTTTATTTTATATCTTCATTATTTTTCTTATTTATTTACCTATTTATTTTTATTAAAAATTAAAAAATATAATTTTTTTTTAAATAGTTATATTAAAACTTTTCCATTTCATTTTTTATTTATTTATTTTTTATTTTGTATAGATAAGACATTAAAAATACTTTCTTAACTATTTAATTTCCTTTTTTAAATTAAACTAATTTAGATTTAGGTTTTTATTTTCTTTTATTTAATTTATATTTTAGGTTTATTTAAATTTCTTGCAATTAATTAATTTAATTAGGACAATTAAAACTATTTTCATACAAAAACTCACAGAAACAATTTCTCTTCTCTTTACATGTATTTGTATATTTTTATTATTTCACATTATAATTTATGTAATTCTCAAAGCCTTGTAATAGTAATTAGGATTTACTTTACTTGTCATCCCCATTTGTAGTTTGTATCCCCTATTCCTTAAAAGTACTGTAATAGCGTAGAACTTTAAACTCTGTAATTTATCGCTTTCCATATTATTGTTAGTAATTAGGGTTTATATGACAAGACTCAAAATCAAACAAATAGACAACCCTAATTGAAGACCAAATAAATGAAAACAATACACTTTGCACACATGCACCTCTAGAGTTAACCCACACTTGTTGTCTTAGATGAAAACAATCATGTCCCTTGAATGTGAGATACTTTAGCAAAGACCCTCGATTACAAGATCGTAGTCCCTCGATGACCCTTCGATGTTGCCTTCGATAAACGATCTTAATACCTTACAACAAACTGTTAAGGTATCCTATAAGGTATCCTATAATGTTGCCTTTTATGGCTGTACGATGATCTACGACTGTCCCTTCACATTCAATGATAGAGCTTCCTACTAACTAATGGTAGAAAAGCACTATCTAAAGGAGGAGGAAAAGAACAAAGACTTTTTTTTGAGTAGGTAGAACGCTCGTAGTTGCTTGCTCACAAACATTTCAAAATAAAATATCTTTCAAACACACCAACACTTTCATGAAATATTTTCAAAAGTCAAACACTTTGTATACATTCTTATAGAGACGAGAATTATTACAAAGTTTTGCCTAAACGAAAGCACTTTTCAAAAATACTTTCAAACAAACACAAACACATTTACAAAGCGTTTTCAAAATGAGCTAGCAACTAAGAGCCCGTAGATAGCTACGGATGAAAAAGGTGTCAACACCTTCCCTTTTCATAACCTATCCCTGAACTCAAGAAAATTCTCAAAAGTCTTTCCTGTTCTTTTCACCATTTTCTTTATTGGATAAAAAAAATTCGGTGGCGACTCTTGCTATCCGCAACAATTGCGATAAAACGCAAAACATCCAAGTCAGTTCTCTCACCATATTACACGATCTTTGAAGGAATCGCTGGAAACAATGACCTATAATTTATCTCTATGTCTCTACAAATTATGTTCCTTAACTAGTTAACCCCTCATCTACAAATGCCTCTTATGTGATCTTATAATTTGTCTCGTGCGAGTCGTAATTAAGGAGCACGATAAAGAAGAATTGTTTTTGAAATTATAATTTTACTAGGTCAAAACACACTATTAAAATAAAAACAAATAATAGTGTGTTTTAACAATAAATTAATTTAACACATAAAATAATAAAAATGATTATCAACAAGAGTAAAGAAAAGAAATGTTTTTTTAAAAGAAAAGTTAAGAAAAGAGAGGAGTATTGAGTAATAAGTAAGTGATGTCCAAATAAGTCATATCCAAATTCATCAAACAAAAGCCCAAACCCAAAACACACAGTCGTATTGCGTTTTGCGTGAATTCTGCGATTGGCGTAGAACCACCTATGGGAACATAGAAAACACAGAAAATCAAAGTTTTCGTGCTGATTCATTCATGGAGGCAACTAAAGAAGAAGAAGCTCCAACATCAGAACAAAATTCGAATTCGAATCCAAATCGAAACCCTAATCCTCCTCGTACGACGAAAGGAAAATCGTGTAAGGGATGCGCTTATTACTCGTCTGTTCGTAAAGCCAATTCTCAGAATCCGGCTTGTTATGGCTTATCAAGAACGCTAGAGCAAGGTCAGTTTCTCTTTGTTTCTGTTACGTTTTGTTTTGGTTTGATTTTTGTGTATAATAGTTTTTTTTAAGGCCTTCGCGATTTCGATTTCGGTAGGTGTTGTAACATTGATTATCGTCGGTTGATTAATCGCAATTTACTATTTATCTTAAAAGCGGTGAATAGTGGTAGTTTTGTCGCGGCTGTTTTCACGGTAATGGACCGGTTTTGAAAACATTATGAGGGACTAAAATCAATTGTGTGTGATGCAATGGGAATTGAAGGTTGAATGTGTAGAATAGCCTTGCATTTCACCTATCTAAAGGAAATTTGTTGCGCTTCCCCTTGTCATCCCCTTGTTATTAATAACCAATGTGGTCAAACCCGAGATCTTAAGTAGGATTGGCAGGCCGGTGAAAGATTATAATACGAGGATCGTAACACGACATTCAAGTCCTACAGAAGAGCAAAGCTGTAAATTTATTTACACACACAAAGGCATAAAAATGATAATACGTGGACAGAATAACCTATAAATCATTTACGCCAACCAATTTAGTTAATAATTCAAAACCATCATTCCATAAGTTAATGACTGCTAAGTACTTAATTCATAAAGTAACAAAGAACTAAGCTCATAAGTACTCAAAAGACATAACCCTCATCCTCAAAAGACACTATCTAAGGTATAATCCACCATTTGAAGCCATTAATTACATGGCTGTGAAAGAAATAAAAGATGAAATAGAGCTGCGAGGAGAAGGTGTGAAATAGAACAAAAACAGGGGAGGTGAAGGACAGTGTCTCAGTGAGGAGCGGAGGATGTTGTTGCAACCGCAGCGAGGAGAGGAGGAGGGATTGTAGTTGCAGAGAACAAAGGGGGAGGGAGCTGTCATGTTTTAAGGTTTAGGAAGGGAAGGATACTAAGGTTTTAATTTTAAGTAAACCATTTTTTAATCAAAACCCGGCCCAATTAAGAAGTGCTCAACAAAGTCAGAAGCCCAGCACAATTTCCCTTTACGATCTTGACCATAACGGCCCTAGAAAAAGATCTTGTCCTGATCGTAGCACGTTGGGGCAACCATGGCACGTAGGGTCCTAAGACCTAGCGCAAGATCTTGACTACTTTGCTAATAACTTTTGTACAAAGTTTATTGTGCTAAAGCGACACTTCATACACTCGAAATCTGTTTTTTTGGAACTTTGGATATTAGATGCATAGTGTTTTGTGGTGGATATGGTAATACTTTTATTTTTTTTCCTATTGAGTTCTTTGACCTTGTATCTTTACTATGTTTGATTTTATTTTACTAGTCAATTTGTTAATTTTAGCCATTCAGTTCACTAATTGCATCCATTGTTGTCCTTATGGTGAACCTTCATCCCGATTGCATTTCTATTTTGTTATTAATTAATCATTTTTTGTAATAGATATTGCTTACTAAATTGTCTCTTTTATATTGGTTTTATATTCTAGGATTTTCCTTATTTGTGAAAGTTTAGTCAATGTTTCTGCTAATGCCTATAAAGTTTTGAATTTTGATATTGATGTTATAATGCTTATAACCAGTTCCCCCATATGTTGTGGGAGAAACTGAGTTGGAAGCTTCTAAAGAGGGCCGCAGACTTGCAAACTTCAAGTATGCTTGTATTGGATACTCTATCTACTTAGACAACAAAGATTCTCCACCTGACTCACAGGACAAGCAAAGAAAATTGCCCTTTTGCGTTGGTCTTGAGGTCTTACATCTCAACCTTCTTTCCCTTGTTTATGCTTTATGTAAAAAAGTATGTTTATCTTGTTTCAAGGGTTTTGTAGGAACTTCAACTGTGTTCCAATAAAATTTTGTCCAGGTTTCTGACAGAATTGCACATGTTTCAGGTGGTCTCAGAGGTGAATCCTTCTACTTCACCTGCTAGCCATGTTCCAGCTCAGGCTCGTAAACCTAACGGTATTAAATTTCTTGGTTTTTCAATCACTCCTCATTAACATTCTCAACTCTATTCTTTATGGTGTGTGCTAAACGACCTAGACAATGTTTATTATCACGATAGCAAGATAATATAGATATTTATATTGCAAATTCTTGCTATCTTGATGATAAACATTGTCTGCTTTGGAAGCAACTTTCTGTGCTTATACTACCAATGGACTTTTCCACTCTTGTAATGGAGCAATTGATATCATGAATGCAAAAACATCACTGTCCTATTTACAACTGTATAGTGTAATTATTCCTTCTTTCTTTAAGTGCATTTTCATTTTGATGTTTTCGGCTCTTGTTTAATCAGATCGCGAACCTGCAACCCCTCAACCGCGAATTGGTAAACCTACAAATACTTCGGCAGAAGAATTCTTAAACAGGCAAGCAGAGGTTTTCAAAAACCCATTTGTTAAAGATGTATTCTGAATACTAGTGATTCTAACACCTGAATATTCTAAATTGCAGGTTTCAAAAAAATGCTACCCTAGTGGCAAACGGTGTTGTAAAAAACTTGAACAGAGTGGGTAACTACGTAAAAGATACCCTAGATGAGATTCTATATCGGCGACCCAAATGAAGCTGGCGCTTGCAATTTCTTTACAAGAAATGATTTCAATTTTACATACCGGTCATTTTGTCTATTTATTGTTGTATTCTGACAGTTTTGCTTGACTAGTTACTATGTATATTTTCTAAACAATCATAATAATAAAACTACATGACCATCCGAGGAGAAATTTGGAGTTAGAGCATTTTTAAAATTGGAAAGGAAATTAGATTGTGAGAGCAGTCTCTCAAGAGTGTGTTCAACTAGTGGCATGGCGCACATTAAATCTCTATGGCAGAGAAGAGGGTGGAGAAGTTGATCTTATCAATTCCTTGTACTATTTGTGGAGAAATTAACATGTCACCTCCATATTATACATGCCATCATTTAAATTTCAGTGTTCCCAAAATATCTCTTTCACTATTTATTCAAAATTTTATATTTTTATCAAAATTTTTTTACTATTGATCAAAGGGGTAAATTTTGAAATTTCTGGTACTGTTAGCAAATTTTCGATACCGATTTTGTTGCATATCGGAAATTCTTTACATTTTATAAATTTTCAGTAGTTATATATCAGAAAATTCAAAATTTTCGATTGTGTTTTATCAGAAATTTTAAAATTTCTGTATAATTTTACAAAAGTGTTTACACATATCAGAAATTTAGCAAATTTTTGATACAAAACCTTTATCAGGAATTTCAAATTTCCGGTGTATCGAAAATTTCAGTTATATTTGAAATTTCTGGTATATATGCTGATGAAGTTTTATATTGAATAAAAACGTTGTAAAATTTTAAATTTTTGATATTCCGGTATATTTTTATAATGAGGAAAAACACAGTTAATTTCAAATTTCTAATTATGATCAAATGGCACGGTAAAAACTTGGAAATTTAACAAAATTGTTAATTTCTCTTATTTGTGTTATGTGTGGGAAGGCCTTGTAACGAATATTGGGCCAAATTATTGTAATTACGAGGCACACAATTTGTGAAATTGTCCTAATCATCCTAATTACAATTTATTTTGAATGAATTGATTGTGAAAAATTGTTTCCAAATTATTGTAAGTACGAGGCACACTATTTGTGAAATTGTCCTAATCATCCTAATTACGATTTATTTTGAATGAATTGATTGTGGAAAATTGTTTCCATTAAAGTGAATTGAAAATAAAATGATTAATGTTTGGACAAATTTCACAAAATTGACTTGAATAGTAAATTTAAGAGTGAAGGTTACATTTATATCCAACAACTATAAACTTTAGTTTCAAGTAGTATATAGAGAATTAATTTTACTCGAAAGCAATTAAACATCTTAAAATTAATTATAGATATCAAATTAATTTTCAGTGTTTTAAACATGAAATCAAACATATACTAATCAATTTTAGTTGAAATCAATCAAACATGTTGAAATTAATTATATACATTTAAAATTAATTTTGAGTGTTTTAAATATGAAATCAAACACTCGCTGAATAAAAATGTATGATGGCAACCAATCGTTAGTCGGTCTAGTGGTAATTGGTGTTGGACTTAGTAAGGAGGATTACGATTTGATTTCTTACAACTGCGACCGAGAGAAAACTAGAATCACTTAATGTCAAAACTGATTCTTAGATTAAATTAGTGGTGAAATCGAGAGGAGACTGAAATCACTTGATGCCAGAACTGACTCCATAACCATTAAACTAGTGGTGAAAAAAAAGGGAATATTTTGACAAAGTTAAATGTTAAATTTCTAAGAATTCTTACAAGCTCAGTTCAAGCTCGTTGGAATAGAAGTGTGGCTAGATAAAGTGAATTCTTGAGTTTTATGGAATACACTTAAAATTTTGGGTTTTCAAACTCTCCACATTTTGATGAAATGTGGGGATATAAGTTATAAGTTGAGGGGTATCATTATTAAACTTGGACCATATGTAGTGTGAAAAGAGTAACAAATTAACTAGCTTGTAAGAAAAGTAATTGAGATTTGAGAATTACTAATCTCATCCTATGAGGTGGAATAAGATCGTATGCAAATTCGAAAATACCTTTAAGATTCTGGAGATGCATCTCCTGACGTGTCTGTTACACCACTGAAACACAATTCAATTGTGTCACACTTTTTTTCCCTTCAAAATATGTTCTGGAGATGCATCTCCGAAACAATCATATCATTTAATTCCTAATTTACCAAGTCAGTGACTTTTTCGGAGTTCCATCTTCGGAATTGTGAAGCAGGAAATTCAAAAAGTGTGACCTTTTGCTGGTCAGTCTATTCGGGAGACGCACCTCCGAAAAACTCAAATGTCTGCTTTTGATAAAACATAATCTTTAATGATCAAAATCCATTGCCAACCTTTAGCAAAATACTTGCAAAAAAACATTTCATTCTCAATCAATATTTTAGCTCAAAAACACCAGTCTTGTGTTTCATCATTTCAAAAGGAACAAAAGAAGTTGAAATTCAAGGTAAAGATCATTCATTTCATTCTTAATTTCTCACATTAATCTTGTTTTATGGTGTCAAAATTACGTTGTTTCCAGAAACGTATCTTCGGATTATAAATGAATTCATACGGAAATACATTTCCGAAATCTCTCATGTTTCAGTTTTTAAATATTTTTTGTTTTTGTTTGCATTAGTTATGGTGCACCGAAATTATTTCCCAAAACCTATTGTGTCTACAGATGCCAAAAGTGCCATTGTGAAAGAGGTAGATGTTAGTAAACAATTTATACTAGACAAGAGTTTGAGTATCGTGATCATATGCTTCAATGGATACGTATGGAGGCATCTAAATTGGAGTTTGGTGTTATAATTGGAAGCTTCGACAATGGTTCAGATAGAATAACAAAATTTGTGACAATGAGATGCGAAAGAAGTGGGATGTATATAACTCCTCTTCGAAAATTCAAACGAGATAACACTGGTTCGAGAAAATGTAAGTGTCCTTTTAAGTTGTGTAGTTATCTGTTGTCAAATAGAAAATGGAAATTTAATTTAATTTTTGTTTACATAACCATGACCTATGTGTCAAGTTAGTCGGGCATCCAATTGCAAGTGGCCTAATGCTAGAAGAGAAGAAAATTGTTACGGGCATGACATTGAATATGGTGCACCCAAAAACATAATTGCAATTTTGAAACACATGAGACCCAAAAAATCTCAAATATAAAGCAAGTGTACAATATTCGTGTCAATAATAATAAGTTGGTAAGGGGGATAAAACTGAAATACGACAACTTTTGAAACTTTTGGATGATAACAATTATGTATTAAGGTGCCGAACTTGCAAGGATAGAGTAACCGTTAGAGATATATTTTGAAATAATCTGGATTCAATAAAGTTGTTCAACATATTTCCTACTGTGCTCATCATCGATTTAACATATAAGACCAACAAGTATATGCTTCCAGTATTAGAAATTGTTGGCGTCATCTCTACGGAGCGGAATTTTTCTATTGGGTTTGCATTTCTGGAGAGTGAGAAAGAGGAAAATGTTTCTTGGGATTTTGAAGCCTGTGAGACAATATTTAAGGACAAAGAAGACATGCCTAAAGTCATTTTGATTGACCGTGATACCCTATTGATGAATTCAGTTGCAAAGGTATTTCCTACTTCTTACACATTATTTTGTAGGTATCACATCACAAAGAATGTGTATCACATCACAAAGGATGTGTATCACATTGCAAAGAATATGAAAAGTAGAGTTATACCTGTGGTAGGGACGAAACAAATTAAGGGTGAAGAGAGAATAATTGTCAAACCAAGTGTAACGCGGTGGGAGAACCGACTTAGTTTTGCGTTTTATCACAGATATTGCGGATAGCAAGAGTCGACACCGACTTTTCTTTTATCCAATAAGGAAAGGGTGAAAAGAACATGAAAGACCTTGATATATTTTGAGTTCAGGGGGTATGTTATGAAAAGGGAAGGTGTTAGCACCCTTTTCATTCATAGTTATCTACGGGATCTTAGTCGCTTAGCTCACTTTTGAAAATTACTTTGTGTCGTGTGTTTGAAAATATTTTGAAAAGCTTGCCAATGTAAGGCGGACTTTGTAATGATTCTCGTATCTGTCCTTGAAAATGTATACAAAGCGTCTGTTTTGAAGATATTTCATTTGTTTCGAAAAGAAGTGTGATTATGAGAAATGTTTTGTTTTGAAAAGCTTTGTGAGCAAGCGACTACAATTTCTACCCTACTCAAGGTCGTTCTTGTAATTTTTCCTTCTCCTTTAGATAGTGCTATACATACCATTAGTTAGTAGGAAGACCTATCATTGGATGTGAAGGGACATACGAGGGTCATCATATAGTCATCGAAGGCAACTGATAAGGACACTTTAGCAAATTTTTGTTAGGGACTGTCATCGTTGTATTCGTAGTCAACTCGAGGGACTAGATCATTTTCCGAAAGGCAACGTCGAAAGGGTCATCGAAAGACTATGATCTTTTGTATGATGACTTGATCGAGGGTCTTTTCTAAGGCGTCTCCGTGTTCGAGGGACATGACCGTTTATTTTTCGAAGGCAACAAGGGAGGTTACCCTAGAGGTGTGAGTGCGCGAGGAGTGTTGTATTTCAATTAATTTATCTTTGCAATTAGGGTTTTGCTACCGTTTGTTTTTAGTCTTTCTATGCAAGCCCTAATTACTAACAGTAATATAGTAAATATAGAAAACAGTAAAGGTGCGGAAAGAAAAAGCGAAAAAGTTAAACCTAAACCTATTACATGGCTTTGAGGTAATTACAAAATAGAAAGTATGAAAATATAAACCTAACTATTACATCCCGGAAGGCGGATACATAATAATGAAGAAAAACGGAAAATAAGATCACGCTATTACATCCGCGAACCTATACAATTTAATTATGAAAATAAAATAAAATTGAAAATAAAAGAGAAAAAGAAATATTTTTGATGATTTTTAATTAGTTAAACCTAGGAATCTAATTACTTTTAATTTAAAAAAGGTTAATTAAAAAGTTAATCAAGAGAAAGTTAATTAAAAAAGTTAATTAAAAACC